ATAAAATATTTTTATTCATCTTGTTTTGGGCCTTTTTTTTATAGAGAATCTCATAATTTATGGGTTTTCAAAAAATATGAAAAAAGAGAGAGAAAATAAGAAATGAGAGATTTATTTACAAAATAATCTAAGGATATAATTGAAAAGATTTAGAGATATAATTGGAAGAAATTAAAATCGAAGAGTATTATTTATAAGTAAGGAATGGTGCAATTGAAAGAAAAGGGCTTGATTAACTTTAATTAGAGGTGTGATTGAAGAAGAAAAAAACACGGATCGAAGTTAAAAAAGGTAGAAGAAACGAGAGACTAAAATTGATGTTTTTCCAAACCCTAATTCAACCCCTATAAATATCCCATTCTCTTCAATTTTTGCAAAAAAAAAAAAAAAAAAAGGATTACTATTCATCATTCTCTCAAAACAAAATAAAGAAAGGCACCGAACTTAGAATTACTTGCCACCAACCATAAGGTTGTCGTCTAACCAATATAACTCCATCAAAGTCATCCATGACCACCCAACACTATCCAACCAAGCTCAAACCAACCCAAATGCCATCCATTAAACACCTCCTCAACCCAACCAAAGATGCCCTAACTGGCGATATAACTCCAAAATCTTCCCAACTGACCATCGAATTTACATACAACTATTGTTTAACATCATAACTCCTCATAAACTTGCTATTAGCCACCCAAACTCATCTTGATTTATGCGAGATACCCCATCCGGTAATACAACCATGAAATCTTCCCACTAGTCATTAGAGTTCCACCCAAACTCGTTTAATTATTTTCTATTTGATAAAAATAAAGTTGTCAATGACTTTTCATCTATGTGGATAAAGCCACTAGTAGCTTTTAAAGTTGTTCATAAGCTTTCGTTTGATTAAAATGAAGTCATCGGTGACTTACAACCTATATGGATGAAATTACCAATGGCTTCCAAAGTTATTTAGCTATTTAGCTATTTTCCGTTTGAATGAAATAAAGCTCGTCATTGGCTTTTCACCTATGTGGATGTGGCTTCCAAAGTTCGTTTAGCTATTTTCTGTTTGATTGAAATAAAGTTGTTAATGGTTTTCCATATGTATGGACAAAGCCGTAATGGCTTCTAAAGTCGTTGAAATAAAGCCGTTAGTGCCTTTTCATTTATGTAGATGAAACTGCTAATGGCTTTCAAAACTCGTTTAACTATTTTTTGTTCGATTAAAATGAATTCATCGGTGGCATCCCACCTATATAGATGAAATTGCTAGTGGCTTTCAAAGCTATTTAGCTATTTTTAGTTTGATTGAAATAAAGTTATTAATGGTTTTCCATCTATGCTAACAAACCATCTATGTTTACAAAGCCATTAGTGGCTTCAAATATTGTCTAACTATTTTTTGTTCATTTGAAATAAAGTTATTAGTGGCTTTTCACCTATATGGATAAAGGCATTAGTGGCTTTCAAAATTGTTTAGCTATTTTTTATTCAATTGAATTGAAGTAGTTGATGGCTTCCTCGCTTATATAGATGAAACTACTAATGGCTTTCAAAACTATTTAGCTATTTGTATTCTATTAAAATGAAATCGTCGATGATTTCCAACTCGTATGGACGAAGTTACCAATAGCTTCCTAAGTTGTTTAGCTATTTTATGTTTATTTGAAATGAAGTCGTCATGGCTTCCCACCTATATGGATAAAGCCACTAGTTACTTCCAAAGTTGTTTAGCTATTTTTTATTCGATTAAAACGAAGTCATCGAAGACTTTTCACCTATGTGGATGACGCCGACAATGGCTTCCAAAACTATTTAGCTATTTTTTGTTTGATTAAAATGAAGTCATTGGTGACTTTCCACTTATGTGGATAAGTCTGTTAGTGACTTATAAATATTTTTTAAATGACTTGATGTTCATCAAAACAAATCGTTGTTGGCTTTACACTTGTGTGGATGAAGTTTTTGATGACTTGCTAAACTCATGATTTGAAATCATCGATGGCTTTCCACTTGTGTGAACGAAGTCATTGGTGACTTCCTATTTATGTCAATATAGGCTCCCAATCCTTAGAGACTTACCTATTTATCGATACAGATTTGCAGTCGCTAAGGATTAGCCAAAATTCCAATTTCTATCCACATTTTCCCTAGAGTGTGGGTATAGGCCTTTGACTAATCTAAACCTCGAACTACTTAACCATTTCATCTAATAAAACAAATTCACTCAAGTAGGCATAGAATCATAACATCACAAAACCATATTTTTATTTTCACATGCATACAATACAACCTACTTCGAGTACAACGAGATGGTGATGATATTAATTTTGTTCATACATAACCAACCTCTTACCCGGATATCTATTCATACCAGCTTTATTTTATGGTTTTCTAGTTCCTCCTTATAACTAGGTGGCGACTCCCCTCATCTGCGAGATTCCATCGACATAACTCTAAGATAGGTAGAAGATGCTCATATGAAAAAAAATCATAATGTAAAAACATCCAACATGTAAACATGTAAAATACCACAATAACAAATTTCGAGTTTGATAGAATAATGTTACCCTAGCCAACAAGATGATTTAAATAGACAACTATCCTATGTCATAAAATCTAAAATTTCACATAAAGATTGGACAAATATATTATATTGATACAAAAAAAAATAAAGAGATAAAAATATCTAAAGCTACCTCAAAAAGACAAAACATTACGAAGCTATTTCTAGCTTGAGAAATTAGTATTCTTGTAACCAAAAACGGTTATTTAAATAAGAACTCATTCTAAATCATAAAAACATGAAATTTCATACATGGGTTAGAGACAAATAGATGATGTTCATGCAAAAAAATAATAATAATAATAATAAATAAAATAAATAAATAAATCAAAAGGTAAAAGCATCAAGGATTGTACCAAAAATGCAAAACAAAATAGTAACAATTTTCAGCTTGAAAAATTAGTACCGCATGCATTAAAAAAAAAAAAAACCAACAACTTAAATAAAAAACCATCCTATCTCATAAAGATCTAAAATTCCACATAAGGATTATAGACAAGTAAATAGTCTTTGACATTTATATTTAATTTTCAGAATCCAATTTCCTTATTTATTATGAGAATTTATGGTTTTTATTAATATAAATGAGAATTTATCTTCAAAATGCATAGGAAAAAATGTACCATATTACAATTACATCAAAAAACTAGATAAGAGTCCAAAATTGTCGAAAATTTGTCAAACTTTTGGTGACGAAATAAGCTAACTTAACTTTTCTTTACTAATTTCTAAGTGTAATAATTTTTAGGTTAAAGGTTTTGGGTATTCTCTACTTTTTCTTTTGTTTTTATGATGTCTCATATTATTTTTTCCATCTTAAATTTGCCTTTTTACATATGATTTGTGTTTTAAGTTCGTCATTCTATTAACTTTTTGAACTAAAGATGTTAAATGGCATCGTTAGCCTCACAAAATTGCCACATGTGTCAATATTTTTTTTTTAAATCTCGTCATTCTACTCGCTTTTCTTTTCAAATTTAAATAAATAAATTCATTCTCTAAAAACTTTTTTTTAAAAAAGTGAAGTTAAAAATATTTTTTATCCAAAATATCATTTATGAATTTAAGCAAATTTTAGATATAGAATAAAATATTTTTAGTAATTTTTTGAAATATCTAGAGAGTTTCAGTAAAATTTTTAAATTTAAGTAAAAAAAAAAAAAAATTTCTTACCACCGTTAACCCAATAATGTTTTGAGCTGGAAGCCTATATAATAAAACACTAGATAGTGACCGTTTCTATATAGATAGGTTTCATGCTTTTCGGAAACAAGCATAATCCAAGAGTCCAAGATTTTACACCAAACTATGACGAAATTACCTATTAATGTTTTTTTTTTTTTTGGAATGAAAAATAATATTTAATATTTTGGAAACAAGCATAATCCAAGAGTCCAGGATTTTACAGCAAACTATGACGAAATTACGGATTAATGTTTTTTTTTTTTTGAATGGAAAATAATATTTAATAAATATTAATAAAAATAAAAATATTCAAACTGCATATTTAAAGAAATTTAATAAGTTTTATCGGTACTAGTTTTAATATTTGAATCTAAAAAATAAAAAATAAGAGTAATTTTTTTAAACACCAGACCAATCCTTTGAAATCACCAAACCTCTTGGATGAAAGTTAACGTATGCGGACCAATAACAAAAAAAAATCTTAGGGCTCTCCATATTTTTAAAACCATTAATTAGTAGTAATTAATCATCTCAAATCAGCAAACTTTAAATCTAATTCATATTTTTAATGTGCTTGTCCACGTTGCCGAAATTGATACAGTGCTGTCAAAAGACGGTGCGTTATCCTTGTAGTAGGCCCTTAAGTATGGAAAATTAAAGCAGTCCCACCAATCATCTCAAATCGTCAAACTTTTCTAAATAGCATCTCATTATATTACATATTTTGCTTTTTTGCCTTTGCTTTCTACCCCCATATATGATAAAAGCCTGCAATAAAATTAAACAAAGACCAGGATCCCTAATTATATGGTATAACTGCTAGAGAGTCATCTATATAGCTAGTTCTGCCGTTTTTTTTTTTTTTTTTTTTTTGGTTCAGTAGCAAGTATTGCTGCAGGTATATTGATGGAGCACAGCCCTAGTTCATCAAGAACTGATAGAAAAACCATAGAGAGAAATAGAAGAAATCAAATGAAGGCTCTCTACTCCCAGCTCAATTCTCTAATTGTACCCCATCAAAGCTCAAGGGTTTCTCTTTTTTTTTTTCCTTCATTGTTCATACATTATTGTTTTACATCACCTAACATGAAACCCATTTTTTTTTCTTTTTTAATGATCTTTCTCTGATCTTTCTTCTGTTTTTTGGTTCTCTCTCTCTCTCTCTCTCTTATGGGGGCTGGTGTAGGAACCAGCACTGTCGCTGCCTGATCAACTAGATGAAGCTGCAAGCTACATAAAAAGGTTGCAGACTAAACTGGAGAAAATGAAGGAAAAGAAAGACAGTTTGTTGGGAATGGAAAGGACAAACTATACAAGCATGAACAGTAGCAGTGGAACAACAACAGGGATAAGATCACCACAAATTGAGGTTCGTGAAATGGGTTCCACTTTAGAGGTTGTTTTGATAACTGGTTTGGATAGTCAGTTCATTTTCAATGAGACCATCCGTGTGCTTCATGAAGAAGGAGCTGAGATTATTAATGCCAGTTTTTCTGTCGTGGAAGATACTGTATTCCATACAATACATTCTCAGGTACGTAGTAGCTAGCTAGGTGATGTTTTTCAATAAATTTTGCTTGACCATAACTGTTTATTGAAGAATATCGTGAATGAATATCATCTGTAAGTTGTAGAGTTTTTCAAGAACTTTATTTAGTCCTTTTAAATTGATTGTGCAGGTTGGAGATTCTGCCCACTGTAATGAAGCCGCAAGGATATCCCAGAGGCTAAAGAAGTTTGTCCAAGACATTGATAATGCGTTTTAAAGTGTAACGTGAGATTAATTTACTGGTTTAAGTTATTATACATATAGATCTCAGTTATATAATAGAAATAATATTACCAATTGTGTGTTTGCATTTATGTGTTTGTTTTCCTAGCCCGAATTAAAAGACTAAAGCATGTTCAATTGTTTCTTACCAATATATTAAAGATTTATATATAGTTCTTGCGCCTAGCTTAATTTGATCATGTGGTATGGAACTAATTGATATATAGATTAGATTATCTTTTATTTCCCGTCAAATAATTTCAGATCTGACTTTGTTCTTTTGTTTATTTTCTCTAGCACTAGTATAGTTTTATGTACTCGTTTGTCGAGTTTTTATCTCCTTTGAATAAAGGTTTGATAATTATATTTTACAATGTGAAATAGATTGACAATCTCTATCAGTTGTAGAGAGATGAGATCTTCCGTTCATAGAGCCTGATAATTAATGTGACCGGTTTCTCCATTGATTTATGATTACTTGAGATTTTTCTACCTATGTGAGATACAACGACAGGTATATTTTAAGAAATTATGAATAAGAGGTATCAGAAATTTCTATTTGTCATCAACAAGAAGACTAGTGGTGATCTGGAAGATCATATTTCAATATTTCTTATTGGATGTTTGTTTTAATCTATTTTCATTTATTAAGTTGTAATTTCCATAACTAACGAGTATTGAAAATAACCATGTGTGTGTTTTAATTTTGATTATATGAAATTGGTATGTTCCATCATAACAAAATCTAGAACAGCATTAGTTGTAGACTACAAGATGATTCAATTAGTTAACCAATAGATATTGTACTTCATGTTAGTTATTTCAATTTTAATTCAGGTTTTGATAGCATTATAAATTTTATTTGGAATTTTTTTACAGCGTCATATATGTTCGAAATTCCATGTTTATTGTTTATGCAAATGCATTTTATTTTTTACTTCATTTTAATTAGGGCTTTGATAGCTTTAGAATTAATTGAAAATTCTTTTTTACAGCATGTCGTGTTTAGAAGTGCTATGATATGTGGTTATGCAAATGCACTTATTAATTATAACCAAAATCCATGTATCTTAATTTGGCATATGGAACTGGTTTAGGAGATAACCTAATTTCATGTATATATATTATTAGTTTTTTTTTTTTTTTAATTCTCAACGTTGATAAAAAAAAAAAAAAGGCTTTCTTTTTCATTAATCGAATTAAGTTCATTACAAATCATTTCTTAATTCTTAAGTGAATCATTTACTTTCAAACTGGTTTATTTATATAAGAAAATAATTTTTATTATATTGGAAATATTACATAATTATTATAATTAATTTTTACAAGATTTAAATAAATATTACAAACATGATAAATCAAGTGAAAAAAGGCTTGCTTACTAAAGTAGTAATTATTGACCCTCTTAATAGCATCTTTGTCTTCTCCATTTCACAAAAAAATCCCACTTAAAGAGTGTAAATTCATGTATCCACTATATATCTTCGAACAAACTTTCAGCTAGCATAAACCAACAATAAAAAACCTTACATATTAAGGATAACAAATAAAATAAAAACTAAATAATATAGATCTAAATCTATAATTATTTAAACTATTAGAAACATCAGACCTAATTAATAATTACATCTAGAACTGTTAGAAAAATAAAGGAGAAAAAAGATGAGAGAAAGAGGAAGGAGCTATTGCTGATTATTATTTCATCAACAATAGCCCAAAAAATATTAGTTAAAGAGTATTTATGCAGAAGAAAAAGAAAAAGCGGCTAGGGTTTGTTGAATATAATAAAATCATTTCTTGGAATTGCACATATCAACTTAATTAATTTTTTCAGTTGACTGTTCTTATATATATATATATATATATATATATATATATATATATATATATGTGATTTCCTATCCCCCGGAATCAACAGAAACGAAAACTGTGTTTATTTATTTTGAGTGCATTGTTTAGAAGCTTGATCAGTACTATAGCATGATCAGATGATTCAGCTTTGATCAGTTGCTGATTATTATATATTGTTGTTAAAGATCAATTGCTCCTTTCGGACAGAAAGGACTCAACAACTGGCATATGTCCTCAATATCTTTCTCTTAACTAAAAGGAAGTTGCAATTTTGAATTCCATGATTCAATTAAGCCGCAAAATATAAATAATTGAAAAGAAAAAAATCCCCACAAGCGTACGCATGCGGGTGCCAAAGAAAGGTCCCAAAGTTTTGACAGCAGAAAAAGTGACCAATTGTATGTTACTTAGAAACCCAACTTACCTATATATTATTATATTCTGAAAATCAACAATGCAAAACCACAGTGCTAGGTTGATAGAAGGTGAAAGAGAAAAGCGTCAATTAATTTATTTCAAGTCAAGATTATGCAATAAAATTATTATGACTATTGAAAGCCAGCAAGAACGGGAACAAATTAGAGGAATCTGTGTGTGTTTTGATAAAGAAAGTGGGTGGAGCTAGCTAGAATTCTTTTCTTTGCAAATATAATAATTTATGAGTCCACATCTTTGTGTTTGTTGATTAGGAGCAGCAATGATACTAGAGGGGCATGAAAAACATTTCTTTCCTAAAAGACGACTTAGTATAGGACCAATTGAGTCAATGTTTACGTCATAAGGATGACGATCCACCCTTATCTTTCATGGACGTTGGCTGCTTTAATTTGGAAGTTTCCAACAAGTTGTTATGGTTTTTTTTCTTTTCGTTTAAATTCACAGGGATATCTAACAGGTTTTAATTGGATTACAAAAGTCGGAGGTTATCGTCCTCTCTCCATCATATAATTATGATAGGGAGAAATGATCTAGTAGATTTTTAAATAATAAGATTCACATGCAATATGTCTTTATATTTTAAAAACAGTTAATTATATGCTTGCATTTTAAGTGAATTTCTAACCTAACATTGTGATTAATTTTTTTTCAATCGAACCATAAAAAAATCACTTAATTTGCATATGATTAATTTTTTTTTATTAAAAATACCTCTCTTAGCTTAACATTTGCAAGTCACGTTTTATTTCTTTTTTTGAAAAATTAAATCACACACAAGCATCATTTATTGAAAAAAAAAACTCAAACTAAATTAGCCCATTTAAAAAAAAAAAACACGCTTCATTATTCATTATCTTTGCAAACTCATCTATCCTTTCTTCCTTTTTCCAATTTCCTAAATTTGAAAAAATAATTTTGATCGATCAATCTTTTTTCTTTGCTAAAAAAACAATCTTTAAGAAAATATACACTCAAACTCCTCACTAAAAATTCTCAAACTTCAAATGAAAGAACCCGCAACATCCAAATTCGTTATTGTGATTGTAGACCTCGAATGTCTTTAAAGCCGAGCATGGACAAAAGAGAACGACGGTAGCAGGTTCTTTAGTCGTCCAAATTATAACATTGCGAGGCCTTTTGTGGATATTTTCAATTTTTTGATTGAAAATGGTGTGTTCATGTTCAGCATGCACTACCCAAGCTATTTAAAACGACAAATACGTTAGAGAAAGGCAATGAGGTGAAGGGTTCAAATGTAGAATGCATGAAAAATATTGATTGTGTCATGGTTTTTGTTTGTGATTACTTGACTAATTGATGTATATGTGCTTTATTGAAGAAGTGAATTATGCAAGGTTTACGTGTAATGCTTCTTCTATCTTTCTATGTCTTTGCTCATATCCCTACTCATACCCCCTTAGATAACCCATTTCTCTATTACCTTTTATTATGTATATCCAAAAAAAACTATGAATAACCATCTTTATATAACACATTGACGAGAAAACCAATTGGGAATACCAACCACTTCAAACATAATTCCAATACCAACATTATCATTAAAAAATTTTAGCATCACAATAGGTTGAGGTGCATCCATACTAACTAATTTCTTGGCCTTTTTTTTTTTTTGTTTATCTTGTCTTGGATTTTGAAACTCCATTTTGATGAGCAAGTTTATCATACAAATATATAAATATGTTAAAAAAAAACAATTACGGAATAGATCTATAGAATTTTGAGGTTTGGGTATAGAATGTAACATTGCTTGTGGTTGATTTACAACAAATCTTTCATGTGAAGGTCCAACTTGTGTAATTCCATCATTTGTATCATCTTTTTTATGTGAAGATCTTGCTTGTCCAAGCCATCATTTGCAACGACTCTTTGTCTTTTCCTCGAAGGCCTTGGAATGATAGGTTTAATGCATGGTTTGATTTATAACCCCTTTGAACATAGTTTAAGCATTACTAAAAAGCTTGTAGCACAGTAGTAATGATCTTTTTCAAGAGGTCACGAGTTCAAATCCTAAAAGATCAATTTTGTTAAGAGCTTTGAGTGTGTGAGTTAAAAAAAAAACCATCATTTAAGCATTGATTTGTTTGCGCTCTCATTTTTAAAATTGATTCTATTTGTGGTTCATCCGATCCTTTTTTTCGTTCTTCTTATCTTTTCTAGTTGTTATCTTAATTTCTCATGGAATAATTTTAATATACCTATTTTAAAGTCATTGCTCCTCACTTCCCACTAGGTAGATCATTGGCTAATAGACCTTGAACCACTTTTTTTTTTTAATATCAAACATCAACATAGTTTTTAGGATTGCCACCAGAATCATATATTGCTAAAATTATACTCATATGGAATTCCTATGAGGTCTCATTTCGTAAAAATACATATACTCCAACTCAAATCCATTATGAACTTTTTTTACCCCGAATGCACTTGGTATACTCCATTTCTAGCATAAATTGACTTGCAATAATCTATCAACATCTTCAAGTTTCTTCATAATCTTTAGGTAGGCCTTAATTAGATATGTTTTAATGCCTTGTCTCTTTTTATGGTATATAACCATTAGATTAGTCTTAGTTTTAGTTCTCATTTGCTTCAACTATGTAAGAGTTAAAGCTCTCACATGGATTATTGGCAATCAAATCAATCTTACTTTTAGAATTAAATATGTATTTGTACCATGTTTTAGGA